TCTATTCTTGATTTAGTTTTGGCAAGTGATATCTATCCAGGAAATTGTCCATTTCCTTTAAATTTTCAAATTTTGTGGAGTACAGATTTTTCAAAGTATGCCCTGATGATTCTCTTGATTTTCTCAGAGTCCGTTGTTATGTCCCCTTTTTCATCCCTGATTTTGTTAATTAGCATGCTCTCTCTCTGTCTTTTGGTTAGTTTGGACAGAGGTTTGTCTATTTTGTTGATTTTCTCAAAGAACCAACTCTTTGTTTCATTGATTCTTCTCAGTGTTTTCCTGGTTTCTACTTGGTTGATTTCAGCCCTCAATTTGATTATTTCCTGGCGTCTGCTCCTCCTGGGGGAGTTTGCTTCTTTTTGTTCTAGAACATTCAGCTGTGCTATTAATTCTATAGTATGACTGTTCTCCATTTTTTTCATGTGGGCACTTAGTGCTATAAACTTTCCTCTCAGAACTGCTTTCAAAGTGTCCCATAAGTTTATGCTGGAGAGGATGTGGAGAGAGAGGAACACTCCTCCACTGCTGCTGGGAGTGCTGACTCATACAGCCTCTTTGGAAATCAGTATGGAGATTCCTCAGGAAAATGGGAATTAATATACCACTAGACCCAGCAATTCCACTCTTAGGCATTTATCCAAATGAGGCAGGTTCATACAACAAGGGCATCTGCTCCACTATGTTCATAGCAGCATTGTTTGTAATAGCCAGAACCTGGAAGCAACCTAGATGCCCCTCAACTGAAGAGTGGATAGAGAAAATGTGGTACATTTACACAACAGAGTATTACTCAGCAGAAAAAAACAATGGAATCTTGAAATTCGCAGGGAAATGGATAGCACTGGAAGAAACCATCCTGAGTGAGGTAACCCAGTCGCAAAAAGACAAACATGGTATGTACTCACTCATATATGGATTTTAGACATGGATCAGGATAGTGCCAGTCTACACTTCCACAGATAGAGAGTCTGGGAAACAGGAAAGAACCTAAAAGATATGCATATATGCATAGTACCCAAGAGAAGAGGATGGAGACAAGATCCTCTGAATGGATGGGGAACACGGCGAGGGTTGGGGGGGGAGTGGGACCTCGGAAGAAGAGAGGGGGTGAAGAGGAAGGGAGTTGGTCATGGGGAAACAGGAAGTTGAGGGGGTGGGGGTAGAATAGGGGGAAGAGGGAATCATAGGTTCAAAGACAGATCAGGCACCAGAGTGACCTCGAGTGATCTAAAGGGATAACACCAATTGGCAAGCTAAGCAATAGTGGAGGGACCACCTCGAATGCCCATCCCTGAAAATGAACTTGATGTCTATAACCATCCAGGAGCCTTCATCCTGTGACTGATGTTAGCAGAGGCAAACACACAATTAATCACTGAACTGAAACCAAGGAACCCAGTGACAGAGAGAGAGGAGTCATGAGCAAATTGGCAAAGAATGGCCTGGCAAAACCAGCAGAGACAGCTGATCTGAACAGGTGAGAGCTCTTGGACCCCAGACCGACAGTGGGGAGCCCAGCATGGGACTGATCTGGACCCCCCAAATGTGAGTGTCAGTGAGAAGGCCTGGGCAACCTATGGGGCCCTGAGCTGTGGATCAGTGTCTATCCCTGGTATACAAACTGTCTTCGTGTGCCTATAGCACAAAGAGAGATGCTCTCTCAGCCTGGACTCTTAGGGGAGTGCCTTGACCCTACCAAGAGTAAAATGACAGACTCTGGATATCCCCTATGGGGAAGGATTTGGCAAAAGGGTGGGAGGGAGGGGGGAAGGGGAGTGAGGGAGGAGGGGAGGGAGAGGGAACTGGGATTGACATGTAAAACAAGCTATTTAAAATTAAAATGAAAAAATGAAAAAAAAAAGAAATGGATGTGTTGTTATGTGCCTCTAATCCCTCACTGGTGAGCTAAAAACAGCTGGATACCTTTGGCTTGGTGAGTTTCAACCCCATGAAAGACTTTATTACAAAATCCAAGTTGAATGACTCCTGAGGAATTGCAGCTGAGAGTGATGTCTGTCTGTCACACACATGTACACAGACATAAATTCTCTCCAATAAACAAGCAAACACATAAATTAAATTACATACATATGCAAACATATTCACTCATGCACAAAGGACCCTACTAATCTTTAAATTATTCAATGATATTACAAGATTCAAGTAGATTCTCATCTCTTATGGATCATAGAAAACTAAAGCACAAAACACCATCTTTGAGTCTTATTGAAATATGGGAAAGCAAAACAAATGAAATATATATTTCAGATGAAATTAAGAAAACTATAATGTGGTGGATAATAGTTGCTTAACATTAATTTTCTGATTAGGACTATAATAACTATATTATAGGAAGATCATATGTGTAGGAAGGACATCATGAAGTATGTAGCAATGAAATATGATGTCCTTATTCTCATTCCAATTGTTTTAAAAGAGATAGCTGCATGTGTCTGAGGTGACAGGGAGAAAAGAACAATTCCTTCTGGATATGTTTTAATTATTTACAAATATGCTTAATGAAATGTTTGGTTATGAAACATAGTATGGTATGAAAATATTCTTTTTACCACTAGCCTTCAAATAATAAATATCTGTGATATATCAGTTTTAAGGAAACTGTATAATTTAATATCTGTGTGATATATAAGCAGTGGAAGACTCCAACATCCCACTCTCACCACTGGGCATGTCTGCCAGACAGAAACGTAAATGAGAAATAATGGAACTAATAGATGATATGACTCTAATGGATTTAACAGACAACTATAGAACATTTCACAATACACAAAACAATATAACTTTTTCTCGGAACCTCATGGCACCTTCTCTAAAATTGACCACATACTTGGTAACAAACCAAACTTCAACAGATACAAAAAAATGGGATAATGAAATAATCCCCTGTATCTTATAGGATCAACACAATTTAAATTTAGAGTTCAACAACACAAATTGCAGAAAGCCTACAAATTCTTGGAAATTCAACAATGCTCAACTGAATTATCATTGATTCCAGGAAAAAATGAAGAATGAAATGGCAAGCTTCTTATAACTCAACAAAAATGAGTGCAAACTCATAGAGCCACTTTGGAAATCAGTATGGAGATTCCTCAGGAAATTGGTAATCTGTCTACCACAAGACCCAGCAATTCCACTCTTAGGCATATACCCAAACGATGCACATTCATGCGCCAAGAATGTCTCTCCCACATTATTTGTAATAGCCAGAACCTAGAAGCAACTTAGGTGCTCCACAACTGAAGAGTGGATAGAGAAAATGTGGAACATTTACACAATGGAGAACTCTTCAGTGGAAAAAAGGAATCTTGAAATTTGCGGGCAAATGGATGGCAATAAAATTAACCATCCTGAGTGAGGTAACCCAACAACAAAAAGTAAAACATGGTATGTACTCACTTATCTATAGATTTCAGACATGGGTCAGGAGGTTGCCAGCCTATTATCCCACTGCCAGAGAGTCTGGTTAACAGAATCTTCATCAAGTGACTGAAGGAAGCAGAGGCAGACACCCACAGCAAAACACTGAACTGAACTCTTGGAATTCAGTGTCAGAGAGGGAGTACTGATTAACCAATTGGTAAGGACTGGGATGCTTTAACCCATATAAACAGCTGACCTGAACAAGTGGTTGCTCTTAGAACCCAGACTGATGTCTGGGAGCCCAGGATGGATCTGATCCAGACCCCCTGAATGTTGGTGTCAGTGTGGAGCCCTAGGCAATCTATGGGGCCTTGGGTAGTAGATTAGTATTTATTGTCGACATTCAAATGAACTTTGGATACGCATCCCATAATGAAGGATGCTTTCTCAGCCTGGACTCTTGCGGGAGCGCCTAGGCCCTGCCCTGAACGAAATGTCAGACTCTGGAGATCCCCCACTTTGGGCTTAACCCTCCCTGGGAATCAGAGTGGGGATTAGGTGGGGGTCTAGAGGACTTGGTGGGGGTGTGGGGGAGGAGGGAGGGAGAAGGTGCTGGGATTGATATGTGAAGCAAACTTGTTTCTAATTTAAGAAAAATATGGAAGTATTCATCATCCTTAGCCATCAGTGCAATTTAAATCAAAACATCTCTGAGTTTCCATCTTGTAACTATAACAATGGCTAAGATAAAAACAAACACACAAACAAAAGCACACCAGGGATGTTTTATGTGGGATAACAACAGTGATGAATTAGAGATGGCCTGAGCCTAGGGGACAAGTAGTGCATACTTCAACATGTCCTTGGGTGTAGCTTGGATGTTATTGAGTGAATACTAAATGTCTTACTCTGAGATGTACACTACCGTTATATAGTCTTGCTTTGATATGATTGTGAAATAAATTGCTTAACTTGTTTTGATTTTGTGAGAGCCACGTTGAGAAACTGTGAACGTTTTAAATAGATTTTGAAGTTTTAGAGAAACATTAAACGTTTTAAGTGTGTGAACTTTTAGAGTATTCAAATTCATAAAGAATTTCTTTGGGACTTTAAAAGATTGTAATATATTTCATATTATAATATTAATATTGAGCTTTTGGGTCCACAAGAAAAGAAATTTTATGTCTATGTGATGGTGTTTGGTTGTCAAATTGACAAGTCATGAGTTTTGCTGGCTAGTGTTTGTCAGCCTGAAACAAGCTAGAGATATCTGAGAGGAGAGAACCTCAAATGAGAAAATGATTCCACAAAACTGGTTTGCAGGCAAGCAAGCCTGAAATGTACTTTCTTAATTGTTGATTAATGGAGCTGGGTCCAGCCATTATTTGGTGTATAAAAAAATTCTGTTTAAGGAGCAAGCCAGTAAGGAACATTCTCCATGGACTTTGAGTCAGGTCACAATTCTAGGTTCTTGTCTTGAGTTCCTGCCTTGGCTTCTCTAGATGCATACATATGGCAAATAAACCCTTTCTGCTAATGCTGTTATTTGTCAAGGTGTTTTTCAAAGCAATAGAATCCCAAATTAAGACACCAAGTGACAATGGTTTATTCATCGTTATAACAATTTACTTGTCTAAGGTCAAGTACTCAGAATAGAATTTCTGTATCAACAGGATTTATAATTTGTCTGCGGCAAATAGGACAGGTAGAGCTTTCAGATAGCCAGGGATCAATGCATTCATCATGATATTCATGAGAGCAAGTTAGCATTCGAATCTTACTGCCTTCTGTGTATTCTGTAAGACAAATACTGCAGGCACGTAATGTATCATTTTCACTAAAAGCTCTTATAGGTAAAGTTTCAATCTGTTCTTTGGTAAGTCCTTTAGGATAGTTATTATTAATGTTATTGAAGTTGGTAAAATCGGGCAAAGTTGGCCAAGAATCACTATCATCAGATTCTTCCGCGTTTGAAAATTGTGTTTGTGTAGTCTCAAATAGTGAGTAAGGGTATAAAATTGGTTCATTACTGTATTCATTAAATTGGAATACAGCTGGTAAATTTCTATTGATGAAAATGCTGCTTCCTTGTATCATAGGTATAGGCAAAACCTGTTGATTGTGTCTTGACAATGAATCCAAAGGACAAATTGTACTAGAATTACTGTCACCAGAGTGAACTCTTCTATTATTTTCACTTGAAAATGGGTCACAAGCTTCTAAATTAATGTCAATGAAATTATCACGTTCTTCTTCAAAATCTTCTTTAATGATTTGCCCTGATGTTCCATAGGGAGCTATAGCTGTAGAATCTAAATCAGTATTTGAAGGTTGAGCAACAGAAAATATTTTGGAATTCTGCATATCTGTCTGACCAGAATGTGAAGTGATATTTGTGTATTCTTTTTCAGTTGATTTTACAGATGTAGACTGACTTCCATGAGCTGTGTTCTCTGTATGTTCTGTTGTTGGAGAAGATGACAAAGAACTTCTTGGTGTCTTAATTGTGTTGAAATCACCACACAATGGAAAACACGGCTGAAGTCTATACAACAGAAAATTCTTATCAAATTCAGGATATGAAGAAGATTCATTTGATTCGCTATGATTAGCTTCCACTAAATCCACACACTGAGTAGGTTGAGGTAGCTTACTTTCAGTCACGTCTCTAACTATCACAACATCTGGATTCTCACTTTTGGAATATTTTCTATCTCGAGTCAATGTGTCATTCATTAAAATTTCAGTTATATCTTCTACTGGTATAAAGGTTGTCTTAGGTTGACGATGGTCTTTTTGCTTCTGGCTGTTTCTACTATTGCCATGACATCTAAGTCCTGAAAGTGATGCATCGTCATTTTGTGGATTTAAGTTATTAAAAGTAGATCTCATCCCTCCACTGATATCACTGCTTGTGTTACTCTGATACTTTGTTTTCCAAAATCCACACTCGACTATCTCATTTTGTGTCCTTTCCTCAGGTTGTTGAAAGGAGTTATGCCGGCCTCCTTCAGATTCACCACTAGGAACAACATCTGAAGGTTTTACTTCAACTGTAAACACAAAGTGAAAAATTAATCAGAAAGGAACTGTCAAAATTAGAACAAATGCTGCTTTGACACTGTTCCAAAAACAAAAAAAGAAAAGAGAAGGAAACAAGCATCAAAGATTCAGATATTTTAATCTGAATTTTAATTAAAATTTCACATGGAATCAATACTTTTGCAAAGTATAAAAATCTAAATTCACAAGTAAAGGCAAGAGGATTTCAAAACTGCCTTTGAAATAGCTTATTCTAGACAAATTTATGGATATTTAAATTGAATCAGAGGGCACTTCTGTTCAATGTTTCAGAATCGTATGTATCACCATGGAGATGAATCTAATCAAGATAAAAATACAACCAAAATAATAATAATTCTCAAAACTTTAAAATAGATTAAAAATTGTGCTTAGGTTATGCACATGTGTATATGTCTTTGAGCATATACCACATGTTTGCAGATGCCTGTTGTAGTTGCCAGTAATCAGATCTCCTGGATCTAAATTCACAGGCAGTTGTGAGATAACCAAAATTGGGAAAAATATTGAACACAGTTCCTTTGGAAGAATACGAGTTGAAATTTACTGCTGAGCAGTCTGCCCAGTCTCAAAGAAAGTGCTACTTAAGATATAACACTAATATTGAAGTTAAAATTTACTCATCTTTTGTTATTTATTAATCTGTAACTTTATTTCTAGGCTCATGGATTGTATACTTTCATTGGAAATGTGAGAAACCATCTTAAGGAAATAAAACATTACAGTTTGCATTTTTACACAACAATATCAATTTTCACCCAGAGAGAAAAACGCCAATTCTTAATATCAAGTATGTTTTATAAGTGAAGCACCAACTGTAGTGAGTGTTGTCTGCATGCATTGGATGACATTCTTTGTTTTTAAGATGACTGGTACCATTCTTGGCCTTGTCACACTGTGTAGAATTAACATGAGCACATATACTAACTGTATATTACCCATTATGACAACCCAGATTGTTTAGCAGATATTAGCAGATGACCATGGGGTGTAGTACAGATTATGCAAAAATTTGCTTTGTTGATGCAGATTTTCTTTTTTATGTCTTCTCAAAAGAAGAAATACAATGGACCAACAGACAAATGAAAAGTGGTGAATATCATTTGCCATTACGGACTTACTTGCATATCAAAATTATAATTAGATGGATGCTCTCTTATAACCTTACATTATTTTACAACCACTGTTGCTATTACTAATTAAAAGAGAATACATTTTACAATTTATAATGGAGAAAAGAAACAAAATAAAAGAGCCTCACTCTTACACAGCCTTTATTGTTTATAGTGTTTTGATAACATTCTTGTTGGAAAAGTCTAAAAAAAGCCCTATAGTTTGCAACTCAGGTCTTATATGTTGAGAAAATGTTCTACAGCCTCATTTACTGTAAGATACTCAAATACTCAGACAATGTATTATACAGAAATTCCCAATGTACTGAATTCAGATAATTCAAAGGTTACTGACATCTATTCCAGTCGTTGACTTTTGGAAGTCCGGGATTCCTGCTTGTTCTTTTCTGCAGTCTATTGTATCCCCTCACTATTTCAGGTTCATCTTCTTTAGATTCACACAGTTGTGCCAAAATTGATTCAGATTGTGGATATTTCCTTTGACTCTGGTTATATTCCATTCGTTCTCCTGAAAAATTTGCAAACAATAGTGTTTCATGCAGTTGAGTTTGTATCATACAGGTTAACACTTAACTTGCTACATATAGTGGGAGGGTTTGAATTACTGTAAAGTATTGCTGTCCAAGATTGGTGTACTTTTAGTTCACTTTAAGCTGTATTTTAATAATATAAAAAGGAGATTAGCCAGACTCTTAAAAAATACCACTAGGCACATCCTAAAAATGATTGTCCATTCCAGTGACTAACAAATAAGATAAGACCAATAAGGAACTCCAAAATACAGAGCCAGCATATAATAGTGCTTTGAAGTATTGCTTCAAAAATAGTGATAAAAAGGGAAAAAGCAGATGGTAGAACACACCCAGTCAAGAACTGGTACAGTTTCCAGTGAACAACTGCTGAATAATGAGTGAGCAGATATCCAGTAATGCCAGTGATTGCTGAAAAATATGGCTGTTAGTAGTAAAGAAGAAAAATGAATAGTTCATTCTTATATGCTCACTGCCATTTGGGGCTACTTCTAATATGAAGCCAGTACAACTAAGAGGTTTGGATCTGGAGCTCAAGATGAGTAGTGAGTCTCAAAAATGTGTACAGTATACTAAGTACAAGGAAAATTGCAGACAAAAGGTACAGAAGAGTTCCTGTGGTATATGTACTATCAGAAGGAGTGGGGAAGACCACAGTTTTAAAAAAAGAAATAATACAGACTTTAAAAACACAGCTAACCCTGCATACATAACTATAGAGATTGATAGTGCGATAAATTTGGTGTTTTAAATACTTTTAATGCGCCCAGAAAATCTTGGATTTTAGTATTTTATGTGAATAGCTCCCAGAAACCATTTTCAATATGGTTGCTTAAATAAGATGCATGATGGCCTCAACATCACACATGGAAATGGGATAGGGTAAGCCTTATAAGGTCCCATCCCTAGAATAAAGAACTACATACAGTGGATGGATGCTGGATGAGAACCCACTCATAGGTCATCCAATCCACAACTCAAAGTAGCTAGCCATATACACTTGTATATATGAGCAAATATATGTTTTATTTTTTACATTTTCTTTTTTATTGTTTTTATTTAAATTAAAAACAAGATTGTTTTACTTGTCAATCTCAGTTTCCTCTCCTTCCTCTCCTCTAATTCCCCCCAATAACTCCCTATCCTATCCCCTTTTTGCTCCCCGGAGAGGGTGAGTCCTTCCATTGGGCATCTTCAAAGTCTGTCATAAAATTAATTTATATAATGTACTGCAGAAATCATTATCGTTTTCCACTTTCATTATAGAGAAGAAAAAAAAGGAAAGTGAAGTGTATTACAACAATTGATAAGCATATCGGAATGGAAGCGTTGAACAGAAAGATATGTTCACTTTTGGTCATGATGTTTCAGCAGAGTACCTAACTAAGACAGACAGTAATCAGAATTTTTTTCATTTCTAATGACTAATTATGCCTTAGGAACAACAAGATATACATTTTCAGTGCTATATCTCATTAGCATTTGAACAAAATACTAACAAGGAGGAAGTTATGTTCCGAGAAGGAATATTTGTGGTAATTTCCCATATGCTTGTTAAATTTTGATGATTGTGAGTTGACATAAATTGCCTGTAATACCAAATCAATACATTGGAACTATAAATTCTTCAGCATACCCTGAATGATTTTTGTATTTTCCATTGGATTCATACAATACAATTTTCATGATGATAATTCTTTTATTTTAATCATCCTTGGCAAGATACTAATGATCCATATTTTACACTTTGAGAGAAATTAAGTTCTATGGTTAGAGCAGCTTTCAGCATAAGCCAAAATAATTCCACTGGGGATGTTTCCTTTGTATTTTTGAAACCAGAAGCATTCTTGGTTGCTCCATAGTAGATAAGTAAGATAAACTTAGCTTCAATAGCTCACTATTATTTCTCAAGATTAAAAGTTTTCCCAAAGAAAGATGCAATTATCTATATGTAAAACTTTCTTGATTATTATAACATGTTTTTACATTGTTGAAGATGTACATCTGAGTCTTCAAAAGGGCACAATAAGTACTAACATATATGCAAAATGATAACTATTATTAAACAAAACAGAGTATTATCAAAATTATATGGATATGTATCAAATTCCATTGAAAATGTCTGGCAAAAATTAATGAACACTCTATGTCACAAATTAACAATTTCCTGTAATACATTCAACTCAATAGTCATGCTTCGGTGGAGAAAAAAAGTAACATTTTACTCTGTAGTCCAAAATTCTATAAATGAACCCAGCCTGAACTGTAGGGGGATTTCAGCCAGGTTGGCAAAAGCCTATATACATAAAGAATTTCTGAAGACAGTTCCCTGGCTACCAAAAGCAATGATTTCCTTTGCCTTAAGAATAAGGTTCATATCACTCTTAAGTCAGTATATCAAGGTCTGAGTTAACCTCCACATTAGAATTCTGTCCATTCTCTCCCCCAGCAAAAGATCCTAATTGTAATCTGCCTATTGTCACTCTTCTGCTCACCTGTTCCAGCTATTCTCACTTTCCTTTCTCTATTTTCTATCTTTCACTACTTTCCCATCTCTCACAGATATCCCTGTCCATGTTCATTATGCTGGCAATGTTTTGCACTTCTCTAAACCTCTGGTTGCTCTGTCTCTCATATAAGTGAAACCTTTCCATACAATGGAGCAATCATGTTTCCAGTTTATACAACTTACTTTTCATCCATGGTTTTTCTCTCCAATTATCTGGAGTTCTGTGTCTTCTTCTTGTCTGAATTCTGGTAGATGTAACTTCCATCAATGTGTCATTTGGATTTCCTTTTGATATATGTGGTCTTTTAAACATAGAATTAGATCCAGCATTTTCTACTTGCCTCTGGTTGTTTCCCATAATTTCTTCTCCTAGAAGTCTGGCAAAATATAAATGGTCCTGTGTTAGAGCTGGACTCTCATAATTATCATTAACACTCTCTCCTTCCATGGAGTTATAAACTTGTGAGTTGTTCAGAGATGTTTCATCCCAAGAATGGCATTCTCTTTGTTCTTCTTCTGCTATAACTTGATGTTGTACAAAAGTAGTTGACTGGAAACTATCAGTATCATGAGGAAGCATATCATGCAAAGGGTCTTCTTTATCTGATATAACAAAATGGGAAGAAGTAGGAAGAGATTAAAAATGAGACATATCATGAAACATTTCTCAAAATCTTTGTTTTATAAACCACATGAGCCAGGTCTTCTGCATGTACTTTATGCCTGTTACCTTGGTAACTTTCTTAGAATTCTAACAGTGGAAACAAGTGCATCTCTGATTTTTATGCCTGTTCCTGTGCCTCTTATACTCCTATTGGGATTCCTTGTCAAGCTATGATAGGAGGGTTTTTGAATTATTTTACAGTGTTTTCCTTTGTTGTGCTTGGCTGTTGTCTCTTGGAGGAATGCTCCTTTCTTAAGGAGCAGAGTGAATCTGGAGGATAGAGGAGGAGAGGTAGATCTAGGTAGAATCAAGGGAGGGGAAATTGGATAGGATGTATTGATGAGAAAGGAATCCATTTCCAGTAAAAATAAAGCACATGTAGATGAGCCTGAAAGTTAGATATTTCATGAACATTTAATATTTTCAGAATCAGTACATTTGGCAATGACACAATCTATGAGATTGATGACTACCTTTGTTACCATTCTTAGAGTCTTGACCCAGTAGCTGATTGAAGCAGAAACAGGCACCCACAGCTAAACATTGAACCATACTCCTGGAATCCAGTTGCAGAGAAGGAGGACAGATGAGCAAATGTATCAAGACATGTTGGAGAAACCAACAGAAACAGTTGACCTGACCTAGTGAGTGCACAGAGATCCTAGGGTAAAGCCAGAGAACCAGCATTGGACCGAACCACACCCTCTGAAGATGGGTGCCATCTAGGAGGCTAAGGCAGTTTATAGAACCCCTAATAGTGGAGTCAGTGTTTGTTTCTAGGTCACAATTGGAACTGGGAGCCCATTCCCGAGGAGGGATACTATTGTAGCCCATCTACGGGAAGGAGGTCCTAGGCTCTCCCCCAAATAATATGATGAACTTTGATGATCCTCCATGGAGTGCCTCACTATCCCTGGGGAGTGGGTGAGGGGTTGGTTGGGGGATCACTGGGAAGCATGAGAATGGGAGGTCGAGGGAATGGGAGGATGGATATGCAAATTAGAGTGATTCTAAAATAAAAAAATCAAGAAAAGAATGAAGTAGAAAAAAGTAAGAAAAACATAATTCAAATTATTGTTGGAAAGATTAACATTTTCTTAGATAAATTTAGGAACAACTTAGAGAAAAGCAGAAAATGTCTTTTTAAATAACTTCCCTAGGAGTTATCAAAAGTCAATTTTTTAAGTCCTTAGTAAAGATACTGAAATGATCAAGCAAATATACTGCAGTTAAAATCCAATACTTGTGTTTTAGTATTATATCAATGTTATCTGATGTTAATTGATTTATGATTTTTTCTAGGGTCTTGAGTAATGTACCTTCGAAAATGCATGGGATTGTTTGAAGTATAATTCTACTGAAACTTGCAAATGAAAAAATGATTTTAAAATAACATGAACAACTCATATTGCTACCAGGATTTTGAGTTGGCCTGAAATGTTAGATCAGATCAAATGAGCTGGGCATGGTAATCTGTCCCGACACGCAGGACATTGATCATGGGTATGGTGGACACCTAGGAGAAAGATGGAAGACAGGGGATACAAGAATGGACAGGATTCTGATCAAGGGGACAACTTTATTTCATCCCAAAGGGATTTATATAGGAGAAGGGAGAAGGGGAAGGGGGGAAAGTGTACTTGTAGCTGCAAGGGCATGAGGTCAGTGGAAGAGGTGGTCGGTTGTATTGCCTGGCTACCTAATCTACAGGGCCTGGCTACCTAATCAACCAAGCAACAACCTCCTATGTTGCTTGGTAACCTGACAGCAGGGTCTGATTCTATCTATTACAATTTACTACTGCTCAGGCCTATCTCCCGAGGACCTTGTAGTTTTCCAATTAAGCTAATATTTAACTGACAGGTATACCACAGGCTTGTTACTTGGAATTTGCTTTATGTCAGAAGTGGTGACAGGGTGGTCTTAGTGTCATGTCTTTTCTATGAGTATGTGATACAGCCTAGCTGACTGAAGGCTGGAGGTCCCTGACAGTAATCCATTGTACTACATATACTATCTCATTAAAATAAAACAATGTTTTACAGTAGAATGGTATAAGTGAGTGCACAGTGAAGAAACCAATGAAGTGATCACTATACAGTTGGGGAGAAGACAGATATGAAAGAGAGAACAATCAATGTCATTAGAAATGTGAAGTGGTGAACACTAGGGCTAACTCTTTGGAGCAAAGAAAATAGAAAAATGATGGGATAGTCCTGCAAGTTAGAAGTTATTAGGGAGGAAGAGGGCTGGCTACCTGGAATAGCCTGGGAACTAACATAGTGGAAGAGTAATAGTTTAGGTGACAAATGCCAGAAGGCTACTGTAGGGGCTTTGGTATTCATAACAGGTATATGTTACCAGGAAACAGAGGACCATTCAAGTTAATTTTTGGCTTCAATATATAACCATATGTATATGCCAAGGGAAGTGCTGCTTTCTCTTGATAGAAACACATTTTTCTGTTTCCTGAAGAATGCCAACTGGAGGCTTTTATCTCTTCTTCAGCAATCATTTTAGTAGTCCCTTTGTAGTCAATCATCACAAGACTGTCATTTTGTGATTGCCATAGTATTTTGAATAATTGGGATTCCCTTTGAACCTGACAGCTAGTAGACTTTTCATTGCATGCATATAATAGCAAGTAGAAGGTCCAAAGTATTTTACTCAAACTTTGTTACTATTGATTTTGGGGTCAGGTAGCTTTGTTTGAAAGTTGTCTTGTATGTCAAATGGTATTTGGTAAACTCCTAGAGTTTTGTCACTGGAGTATTAATTTAGGCCTGGGATATTTATTACTGTAATCCCATCCTCAAATGTGTCAAGTAATAATAATTTAAGAAATGTTAGTATATGCCTACTATAGAAAAAATATTGTTCTCCACTGAGACTTATTGACTAATACTATGAAACACTTTTGTTTTCATTTGAAGATACTGTGCTTATTAATTCTCAGAAGATGAAATATACAGCGCTACTAGCATATAAAGTAATATATAATTTTATGCATTGGGGAAGAACTGCACATCAAAATTATACTAAAATGAAACTTCATGCTATATTTACTGGCTACCACACAAATATGACATTTCTCAATCTCATATTGAATAGTTGTGTATAAGAATTTTCTTCTGAAAAGACATTCTTTTTTATAGAAACTTTTAAAAGTTGCTGATCCTAGAGCCTTTAAACAGTAGCTAATGGAAGCAGAATCAGACACCCAAGCTAAACACTGAGCTGAACTCCTGGAATCCAGTTGTACAGAGGGAGGAGAGATGAGCAAATGGGTCAAGACCAGGCCGCAGAAACCCACAGAAAGAGGTGACCTGAACAAGGGGGAGCTCATGGACCCCAGACAGATAGCTGGAACCAGACCCTTGATTGTGGGTGTCAGTTAGGAGGCATGGGCAATTTATGGGGCCTCTGGCATTGGAACACTATTTATCTCTAGTGTACAAATGGACTTCTGGAGTCCATTCCATATATAGGGATACTCTCTCAGTCTAGACACACGGGAAGGGTATAGGCCCTGTCCCAAATGATATGACAGAGTTTGAAGACCTCACCCTTCCTGGGGAGCAGAAAAGGGAAATTGGGGGCTGCTAAGGGCAGGGGAGGAAGGGGAGAAGGAACTGGGATTGACATATAAAACAAGCTGGTTTCTAATGTAAATAAATAAAACAGGAAAAAAGAAAGATAACAGCTAAAAAAGGTTTGCTAATTTGAAACTCATTGAATTCTTGGCATCTCATTGCATGTAGTTCAACCTATATCTCATTGACATTTGTGGTAAGATTTTCAGAGGTCTTACAACATTCATCAGCAAAATTTATAAAAGCTTTAAATCAGGAAATTTTGAGGTCACTTAATTTTAATCCATCAACGAACAATGGTGAGGTCTTACTTCTTCTTGTCCGTTGACTACTAGGTCAACTAAAATTCTTGCTTGTTTATAGGCCTTGTGATATGTATGTTTTCAAAAATTTAGATTCAGAGTGTGGATTTTCTATTTGTCACTGGTTGGATTCCAAATTATGTCTTGTAAAATTCCACATAAATGACAAATGCTCATTTCATGGGCATTGATTTCCCTCAGTAAACTTAACACATGTCACACTGTGGATATCTCAATTGTCTGAAATAGTTTAATCACAATCTTGATATCCCAAATTAGTTATCTCAATTTTTTAATTTTTGTCATTCTTGGTTTTGGATTGTTGAAAGTAAATAGTTGTTATCTAGCAGAACTACCCAGTATTTAAAAAACAACAACAAATGGTCTTTTCATTGGGCCACTATAAATGGGAGGAGGAAATAGAAAGCCTCAAATAATCAGATTTGGTACAAAGTACAAATTTTCTAGATATTGTATACACAGTTCATGTTTATAAACTTTTTCTCAATCTGTAAAATCTACATTTTAACAAAGGAAAGTTTTCAAATTAATTTTGAAATACTCAATGAATTCAGGTATAAATTTAAAGGGAATCAGAAATTATTAGCATTTTACCATTTTCATAAAATTATATACCATTGTGATAGGTATTCCAGTAAATTCTTACAGCTTACAATATATTGATTCATATGACCAAATAAGTATATTACAGTTAATATCCACTGCTAAGGATTAGCTAAAATACATTATTGTCATTTTCATCAATAGATAACATTCCTTCCATGTTATGGTCTTAAATATGCAGATTATTTTAAGTT